AAACACCCCCCCATTTTCGACTATTCCGGACGCAACGGTGTTGTCTATTTCTCAAAATACAACTCCGATTTGTCCCAAACAGATCATTGAAGGTGTAAAATGGCTATGGAGAGTCAACTTCATCTTCTGGAGCTATGATTATGCTCACGGCTACCAGTTATACGCTGTGGAAACCTCGGATGGAAGATTTTCTCAGTTGTAAAGAGCTCTTTTACCCAATAGAGCTGGAGGGTATTAACCATGATCCGTCCAAGGCGTTAGAATGGAAGAAAATCCATAGAAAAACTATTGGTCAAATCCGACAATGGATAGACCATAGTGTCTTCCATCATGTTGCACAAGAAACCTACGCATATGTCCTTTGGAGGAAGCTGGAGGACATGTACCAGGCCAAGACCACTCAGAATAAGGCCTTATTGATGAGGCGCTTAGTCAATATGAAGATGAAAAGTGGAACTTCTATTGCCGAGCATACCAGTGAGTTTTAGAGCTTGGTAAATCAACTATCTTGTGTGGAGATGCCGCTTGGAGATGAAATGCAATCTCTCCTACTTCTTAATTCCCTTCCTGATAGCTGGGAAACACTCGTTGTTACTCTCAGCAATTCAGCCTCAAACGGCAAACTTTCCATGTCCATTGCCAAGGATGCCTTATTCAATGAAGAGGCAAGAAGGAAAGACATGAGCACAGATCAGACTCATGCCCTTGTAATGGAGAATTGAGGAAGACCACAAGGCAAGCAACAAAGAAGCGGTAGAGGGAAGAGCAGGTAGAAGCAAGGGAAGGCAATCAGATGATCGGAGATCACATGTGTGCTATCATTGTGGTCTAGAAGGTCATATGAAGAAGAATTGCTATAAATGGCTCGAGGAGCAGGGCAAAAGCAATTCTCAGCCAAAGAACAGTTCTCAGCAGAAGAACAAAGGCAAGGGTGGTGAAACTCTCATCACTGTCTCAGATGAGGTAGCATATTGCTCTACTCATGGTGAGACATGCCTTCATGTCTCAAGAGAAGACATGGAATGGGTGGTAGATACTGCAGCATCCTATCACGTTACTCCCAATATGAAATACTTCACAACATACCAAGCTGAAGACTTTGGATCGGTGAAGATGAAAAATTCCAGTTCCTCTGTTATTGCCGGAATTGGTGATATCCAGACAATGACAGGAACCGGGAGTACAATCGTATTGAAGGATGCTAGACATGTGCCGGATCTTAGACTGGATCTTTTGTCAGTGATGGCTCTTGACAAAGAAGGATATGAAAATCACTTTGGTGCAGGTAGTAGTGTCAAACGGGCCTGTCTGGTCTGGCCCGCTCTGGCCCACGCTGGCCCGCAGTTCAAACGGGGCGGGCCAAAATGGCTCGCATTTCTACGGACTGGGAAATCCATGGCCCGTGGCCCGCCCTCATTAGCAATTTGGCCCGCCCGCGGGTTTTTTGGTATTATGCACTCTTATATACTTTTTGGTTTGTTTATTCTTATATTTACTAGTATATTAAAAAACTAGTAAGGCTTCATGTGTAATGATGTTAAATATTTGTCATCCAGTTTTTATTTTATTTTTTTGTGAATAGTTATAGGCTATTCACGCGGAGGAGACTTAATTCACATAAAATATTATTTGATTCATTAATATTTTTATTATGTAAAAAAGTGTTTCATATGCATTCACAAATCTTAATATCATTGTTAAATTTTAAAAAATATAAAATAAATAAATATGGAAGAAGAAGAAAGAAGAAGAAGAAGAAAAAAAAAAAGACGATAAAGACAAAATCTAACAAAATAAAAAATGGGTTGGACCACAGGCCAGCCCGCTTTAGACCGCGAGCCAAATAGTCCCGCGATTGAACGGGCTGGCCAAGCAAAGGCCCAAGCCCGTCCATTTAGGCGGAATGACGGGCCAGCCCGCAGGCCATGGCCCGTTTTGACAGTGCTAGGTGCAGGCACATGAAAGTTGTCAAAGGGTGTTCTGAAAATTGCTGAGGATATGTTTGTGGGACGTTGTACAAAACACATTTGAAGATCAGTGCAGAAAGTCTCAATGTTGTAGAGGAGGCTTCCCAAGATCTATGGCACCAGAGACTTGGCCATATGAGTGAGAAAGGGTTGACTACCCTGCTGAAGAAGAATCTTATCAAGGTTGATAAGAGTGTTGCGTTGAGTTCTTGTAGTCATTGCCTGTTCGACAAGCAACATAGAGTCTCATTCAATGCAAATTCAACAAAGAGATCAGAGTTGTTAAGCTTGGTACACTCTGATATTTGCGGTCCCATGGAGGTTGAATCACTGGGTGGAAGCATATATTTTCTGACTTTAATCGATGATGTTTCTCGAAAGGTGTGGGTATATTTCTTGAATACGAAGGACCAGGTGTTTGAGTACTTCAAGTCATTTCACGTCATGGTGGAACGTGAAACAGGAAAGAAGCTGAAATGTCTCCGATCTGATAATGGAGGCGAGTATACTTCCAAGGAGTTCAATGCATATTGCAGGACAAATGACATTCGACATGAGAAGTCAGTAACACGTACCCCTCAGCACAACAGCGTTGCTGAAAGAATGAATATGACTATCATGGAGCATGCCCGAAGCATGATGAATATGGCTAAATTACCAAAGCCATTTTGGGGAGAAGCTGTCAAGACCGCATGTTATCTAATCAACCGATCACCTTCAGTTCCATTAAATTTTGAAGTTCCAGAGAGAATATGGACTGGTAAGGATCCGACATACTCACATCTCAGAGTATTTGGTTGTGTAGCATATGCACATGTATCCAAAGAGCTCAAAAAGAAGCTCGATGCGAGGTCAATCCCATGCATTTTCATTGGTTATGGAGATGAAGAGTTTGGATACAGATTTTGGGATCCAAAGGAGAAAAAGGTGATCAGAAGTAGGGACGTTGTGTTCCAAGAAAATTTGACAATAGAAGACATGGAAAAGCCCAAGATGTCTTAGAAGTCAAATGTGGGTGCTCAAGTTTCAGATGAAGCACCAGAATTGTTATGTAGAAACAATGAAGATGATGTACCAGAACAAGAGGAGGAGATAGACGAGAATGCAGAGCAAGGGGAGCAACAACTTATCTTGCCAGAGCAAGGGGAGAAACAACCCATCTTGCTTGAGCAAGGGGAGCCACAACCCATTTTGCCAGACACCAACGTTGGAAGTTCTTCTCAGATGGTTCTATCCACTCGTAGATCTGAACGAAGTCATATACCATCAAAAAGGTACTCATCATCTGAATAGCGTCTATTGAAAGAAGATGGAGAACCAGAGAATTTTCAACAAGCCATATCTTATAAGGATAAACAAAAATGGGTGATTGTAGGAAGAGTTAGATTCTCTGCAGAAAAATCAAACTTATGAGATTGTTAAACTTCCAGAAGGGGAAAGGGCTTTGAAAAACAAATGGGTGTTCAAGCTAAAGAAAGATGCAAATGGACAAGTGGTGAAACACAAAGCTCGATTAGTTGTCAAAGGCTTTCAACAGAAGAAAGGGATTGATTTTGACGAGATATTTGCACCAGTTGTCAAGATGACCTCAATTCGAGTCATACTTGGCTTGGCAGCAAGTATGAATTTGGAGCTTGAACAGATGGATGTGAAGACAGCTTTTCTTCACGGAGATTTGAAAGAAGAAATCTAAATGCAGCAGCCAGAAGGTTTTGAGGTTTCAAGTGAGAACCTCGTGTGCAAGCTATCTAAAAGCTTGTATGGTCTGAAGCAGGCACCAAGACAGTGGAATAAGAAGTTTGACTCATGCATGCAGAGTCAAGGTTACAAGAAGACTACTGCAGATGAGTGTGTTTACATCAAGAGATACTCGAACGGAGTTTTCATAGTTCTTCTATTGTACGTCGACGACATGTTGATCATTGGGAATGATGCAGAGAAGATAAGTCAGCTGAAGAAAGAACTTTCCCAGTCTTTTGATATGAAAGATTTAGGAAAGGCTCAACAGATTCTTGGGATGCAGATTACTCGAGACCGAGAGAACGGAAAGTTATGGCTATCTCAAGAGAAGTACATTGAACGAGTACTTGAAAGATTCAATATGAGTGGTGCCAAACCAGTGGGTATTCCACTTCCGAATCATTTCAAGTTGAGCAAAAGATCATGCCCCACATCCAAGGAAGAGGTGGGGGAG